ATTTATTTGAGTCAAGACATCACTCTGTCACCCAGGCTGGAATGCAGTGGCATGACTACAGCTCACCGCAGTCCCAACCTCCTGGGCTCAGGCAATCCTTCCACCTTAGCCTCCTGAGCAGCTGGAACTACAGGTGCATGCCACCATGCCTTGCTAATTTTTTAATTTTTTGTAGAGACGGGGTCTTGCTATGTTGCTCAGACTGGTCTCAAACTCCTGGGTTTAGGTGATAATCCCACCTTGGCCTCCCAAAGTGCTGGGATTATAAGTGTGAGTCACTGCACTCGACCAAGAGGCAAAATGTTAACTATGCCAAAGGTGACATGTTGCACCTGACCCTCAAACAGCTCATGTTAGGCCTAAAAATGGATGCCAAGGCAACAATCATATTAAACAAATTTCTGAAAAAAGTACTATACATTATGACCTAGTGGGAAGGATAGTGTAATATATGAATATTGATCCACATAATAAACCACATTAGTAGGATGAAGTAAAAAAGATCAAAACACAATCATCTCAACTGTTGCAAAAAAAGCATCTGAAAAACTGAACTTCCTCTCATAATAAAAACACTCAAACTCGGGAAAGAAGGACATTTACTCAATATGACAAATATCACTTGGGAAAAACCCACAGATAATATCATAATTGTGAAAGACAAACACTTCTCCCCTAAGACAGGAGTAAGATAAGGATGCCTGCTTTTCGATCTTGTATTCAACATGGTATTAGAAATTCTAGCCAGAGACCCTAGGCAAGAAAAAGACAAAAGAAATATCAGAAAAGAAAAAGAAAAAATATCTCTATTCACAGAGTACATGATCTTATATGTAAGAAAAGCCCCAAAATTGCACATGTGCACACACACCTGTTAGAACAAATTAATTCAACAAAGTTACCAAACACAAAGTCCACATGTAAAAATCAGGTGTGTTTCAATACATTAGCAACAAGCAATCTGAAGGGAAAGTTAAAAAAGTAATTTTATTTACATTCATATCTAAAGAAGCAAATACTTAGGAATCAGCTTCACCAGAAGGCAAAAAACTTATACACTGAAAACTACACAAAATTTTTGAAAGATATTAAATAAGATCTAAATAAATGAAAAAAATCCCATGTTCATGGATAGTAAGATTTAAAATTGTTAAGGCATCAATTCTATCCAAAGTGATCTACAATTCAACAAGGCAATCCCTATCAGAATCTTGCAGAAATGGAAAAACCTATCCTAAAAGTCATATGGAATCTTAAGACCCTGAACAGTAAAAACAATCTTGAAAAAAAAAGAACAGGCCAGGCGCTGTGGTACATGCCTGTAATCCCAACGCTTTGGGAGGCCAAGATGAGAGGACTGTCTGAGCCCAAGGGTTCGAGACCAGCCTGGGCAACTTGACGAGACCTTGTATCTACAATAAATCAAAAAATCAGCTGGGTATAGTGGCACATGCCTGTAGTTCCAGCTACTTGGAAGGCTGAGATGCAAGGATCACCTGAGCCCAGAAGTTCAAGGCCATGGTGTCCGTGAGTGTGCCACTGCACTCCAGCCTGGACAACAGAGTAAGACTCGACTGAGAAAAAAAAAGAACAAAGTTGGAGGACTCACACATTTTTATTTCAAAGTTAAAGCAAAGCCACAGTAATCAAAACTGTGTGGTAATGGCATAAGGACAGACATATAGACCAACGGAATACAATAGAAAGCCCAGAAATAAACCTTCACTCTTAACAAGGGTGTCAAGTCCATTCAATGGGGAAAGGACAGTCCATTCAACAAATAACATTGGGAAAACTGGACATACAACTCAAAAGAATGAAGTTAGACCCTTATCTTACACCATATATAAAAATTAACTAAAAATGGATCATATATCTAAATGCAAGAATGAAAACTATAAAACTCTTAGGGGAAAAAGCATCACAATGTTAGATTTGGTAATGGTATTTTGGATATGACATCAAAAGTACAAGCAACAAAAGAGACAATGGGCTGGGTGCAGGGCCTCATGCCACTCAGCACTTTGGGAAGCTGAGGCAGGCTGACTGCTTGAACCCAGGAGTTCGAGACCAGCCTGAGCAACATAGCAAGACCTTGTCTCTACAAAAAAACAAAACAAAACAAAAAAAATTAGCCAGGCATGGTGGCACACACTTGTAGTTCAAGCTATTTGAGATGCTGAGGTGGAAGGATCACCTGAGCCCAGAGGATCAAGGCTGCCATGAGCTGTGATCCTGCATGATCATGCTACTACACTTCAGATTTCAGTCTAGGTGACAGGGTGAGACCCGGACTCAAAAAAAAACAAACCAAACCAAAACAAAACAAAAAAGGAGACAATAGATAAACCGGACTTAATAAAATGAAAAACTTTTGTGGATCAAAGGACACTATCAAGAGAGTGAAAATACTACCCACAGAACGGGAGAAATTACAGTTGACCTTGGAACAAGGGCTGTAATTCCTTAGGTCCATTTGTGAGAAAATATTCTTCCTCTGCCACCACTGAACCAACCCTTCCTCTTCCTCTTCCCATTCAGCTACTCAAGGTGAAGATGATGAGGATGAAGACCTTTATGATAATCCACTTCCACTTAATAAATAGTAAATATATTTTCCCTTTCTTATGATTTTAATAATTTTCCTTTCTCTAGCTAACTTTAAGAATACAGTATCTAATACCTATACCATAGAAAACGCGTGTTAACTGTTTATGTTATTGATAAGCCCTCTGGTCAACAGTAGGCTATTTATAAGTTCCAGGGGAGTCAAAAGTCATACACGGATTTTCAACTGCATGGGAGGGGGGTAGGGAGTGGTTGGCATCCTAACCTCCCTGCTGTTCAAGAGTATATCTGGTAAGAATTTAGTATCCGAAATATATAAAAACTCCCACAACCCAACAACAAACTAAACAATCCAATTTTAAAATGGACAAAGGACTTGAATAGCTATTTCTTCAAAGAAGATACACAAATTACCAATAAATAAGCACATGTAAACATGTTCAACCTCACCAATCATTAGGGAAACGCAGATCAAAACCACAATGAGATACCACTTCACACTTATTAAGATGGCTATTATTAAAAACAAAACAAAACAAAAAACAGAAAATAACAAATGTTGGTGAAGATGCAGAGAAACTGAGACCTGTGCATTGCTGGTGGGAATGAAAAATTCTACATCTGCTGTAGAAAACAGCTTGGCAATTCCCCAAAAAGTTAAACACAGAATTACTATATAATCTAGCAATTCCACTCCTAGGGACTCAAATGGACACTTTCATACCCTTGTTTGTAGCAGCATTAGTCACAATGGCCAAAAGGTGTAAACAATCCAAGTGTCCATCAACAGATGAATGGATAAAGTATGGTATATCCATACATAGACTATTATTCAGCCACTTCACCAGAATGAAATTCTCATGCATCCTACAATATACATGAACTTTGAAAACATTATGCTTAAGTGAAATAAACCAGATACAAAAGGAAACGCTGCATATGATTCCACCTACACAGTACCTAGAATAGGCAAATTCCAGAGGCAGAAAGTAGAATAGAGTCATCAGGGGCTGGGGAGAGGAAATAGGATGTTACTGTTTAACAGGTACAGAGCTTCTATCTTGGATTAAAAAAAAAAAAAGCTCTGGAAATGGGTGGTGGTAGTGGTTGCACAACATTGTCAATGTACTTAATAGCATTGTCTTGTATGTTTAAAAATGGTTAAAACTGCCAGGCTTGGTGGCTCAGCCTGTAATCTCGCACCTTTGGGAGGCTGAGGTGAGTGGATTGCCTGAGTCCGCGGGTTCATGACCCGCCTGGGCAACTTGGCGAGACCTCATCTCTACAATAAATCAAAAAATTAGCCAGGCGTGGTAGCACACGCCTGTAGTTTCAGCTACTTGGAAGGCTGAGGCAGAAGGATCGCCGGAGCCCAGCAGGTCGAGGCTGCGGTGGCCGGGAGCAGCCACTGCACTCCAGCCTGGGCGACAGAGTGAGACTCCAACTCAAAACAAACAAACAAACAAACAAAAAAAACCCCCAAAAACCCAAAAACAAACAAAAAATGGTTAAAACTGTAAATTCATATTACATATATTTTACCACAATTTAGAAAATGAAACTTTAAAAAAAGTCAACAAAAGAAATATCTGCAAGTTCTAACAATGCATCTGGGAGCCAGTGGGGTGTGGTACAGTGCTTGAGATGACCACTCTGAAGTTGCTCTGCCTGGTTCAGTCCTGGCTCTGCCCTCTCATAGATGCTTCACCCCTTCTGTGGTTAATCTCCACATCCAAATAGAGATATCAGTGTCTTTCTCACATATCAGTGTCTTTCTCACAGGATCTTTATGAAGATAAATGAATTAATTCACTCAAAGTCTTAAGGTCTTCATGAGTTAATTCACATAAAACACTGACAGGTCAGTAAGAAGGAACTATAATTGTCACTATCTAAACAAACACACCAGTCACACATCCAAAGTTTATGTGAAATACCTTTAATCTATTTTGGTGCTCAAAGTCAGAAAACTACCTAGCTATACTCTCAGATGTACATGATCAGACCCTTTAATCTGTCTATTTTGGTGCTCAAAGTCAGAAAACTACCTAGCTATACTCTCAGATGTACATGATCAGAGAAAGATTTATGATTTTATTTTGATTTGCTAGCTCTACATGCTTTCCAAGTCTCTAGATTTCAGATGGTAGCAAGAAACATGTATACATTAGGTACTCTACATGGCTCTTTCAATTTACAATAAATCATGTGAACTTGTTTAAAGTCACAGCTACTAAGATATCTGAAGTTATAGAAAGTTGACAGCGGTTTGCTTGCTCTGACTAAAATAGTAGGCGATACTCTCTTGCCTAAAAAAAGATTTTCCTTGCTTCAAAAAATTAAATTAAATCAATAGTAGGCACTCATTTCTGCTATACATTTCTAATTAAAAATTGTTTAAAATCTCATTTCTAAAAACATTACAGACTTACCAACTGAAGATAGAAATCAGTAGGACTATTTATATGACAAACTGTGACTGAAATATTTGTCATTTCTTTAGGCAAAATAGGTGGATGGTACTGTAAAGTCATATTTTTTTCAAAGTGACTTCTTGCTGATTGTGACCTAAACCTAATAAAAAGCACAATGAAAAGTGTAAGCAGTAGCCATTTTCTTCAAGTCTCCTCTCTCAGTGACTTGATCTGAAGAAAGCACTTGCACATATACTGACCTGTTTACCAAAAGTATTCCTTTTCTAATTTCTCTCTTCTCATAACATTTCTTGGTATTGTCTCCAATGATCAAACCAGGTTGAATAAGATATCAATTCTCAAATCTTTTCTAGAGCTGGCCTGCAGATTGTCCTTAGATCCAAAACGTTCTACTCTTTCTGACCAGCTGAGGGGTCTCTAGTTCCAAGACTTTACTCTCAGTTTTATAGAATGGAAACTTCTTGGGTCACTTTCAGAGTCTAATCACCCAGAAAAGTTAGGATCTCCCACTACCTCTATGGTTACTTAAGCAATCAGAAATGAGGGAGAGAGAAATTTTAAATATCTATTCTAGAATTCATACATTAAATATAGAGCAGTGATGATGAACTTATTCCAAAGGCTAGACGAGTTAGGAACAGTTAAACCACAATTCTTGAAACCCTAGTAGAGCTGTATGTAAAGTTAGCACGAGTCCAAAAAATGTTTTTTATCTACACATACTTTCTATTTGAGCTACCTTAATTTTTCTATTCTCCTAAATTAAATTATCTGTGCAGTTTTCACAGACAACAAATGAATTAGAAAACCCTAAGAATAAAATTTCTAACATCTTAGAGTATGTGAAGCTTTCCTTTAGAGACAGTTTTTAAAGGTAAAATCTGCTATTCCTATTTGTAGCTATAATCACAAAGAATATTTAAGTTTTAATATACTTACCTTGCTAGTCCAATAAAAACTAATGCATCTCTTAGAGACACAGGCATATCACTATTTATTTTATTTATTGGTGGTTTCTGAAGATCTACAATAAGCACACCATCTTCTTCTCCAAAAACTTTCATTAAAACAGCCTTGTTATTTACCATTTTCAAAAATTCCATTTTAGCTTCCTCTTTCCAGCCTTCATTCTGTATATAAACGTAAATTCCATAGCAATTAGTTATTATGATGAGCTCTAATGTTACAGAGTTCTGGGAGTAGCTTTGTACCAACCATGTCAGAAGCCAACCATGGACATCAGTAAGACATGGGGGCCACAAGCCCATGGGCAGTCATTACATAAGTACAATGCATGCATGCCTTTACTTTATAAATATGTTTTCAAGGCTTTACTTTCACTTTTGAATATTAATACAAAGATTATAGGCCAGGCGCATGTAATCCCAGCACTTTGGGAGGTGGAGGCGAGAGGACTGCCTGAGCCCAGGGGTTCAAGACCAATCTGGGCAACTTGGTAAGACCTCATCTCTACAATAAACCAAAAACACTGGCCAGGTGTGGTGGCACAAACCTGTAGTTTCAGTTACTTGACAGGTTGAGTTGGAAGGATTGTCTAAGCCCAGCAGGTTGAAGATGCAGTAGCCATGAGCATGCCACTGCACTCCAGCCTGGGTGACAGAGTGAGACTCCAACTCAAAAAACAAATGAAGATTACAAAGAAAGATCTCGGCCGGGCTCGGTGGCTCAGCCTGTAATCCCAGCACTTTGGGAGGCCGAGGTGAGTGGATTGCCTCAGCCCACGGGTTCGAGACCCACCTGGGCAACTTGGCAAGACCTCATCTCTACAATAAATCAAAAATTAGCCAGGCGTGGTAGCGCATGCCTGTAGTTCCAGCTACTTGGAAGGTTGAGGCGGAAGGATCACTGGAGCCCTGCAGGTCGAGGCTGCAGTGGCCGGGAGTGGCCACTGCACTCCAGTCTGAGTAACAGAGTGAGACTCCAACTCAAGAAAAAAAAAAAAAAAAAGAAAGATCTCAAAATGAAAGAAATAAGTTGGGCAGCTTGGTGAGACCTCATCTCTACAATAAATCAAAAAATTAGCTGGGCGTAGTGGCACATGCCTGTAGTTCCAGCTACTTGGAAGGCTGAGGTGGAAGGATCACCTGAGCCCAGGAGGTCAAGGCTGCGGTGGCCATGAGCATGCCACTGCCCTCCAGCCTGGGTGACAAAGTGAGACTCCAACTCAAAAAAAAGAAAGAAAGAAAGAAAGAAAGAAGTACTTACTGTACATTAATTTTCTACTTACACAATGAAAATTCAAAAGATAATTTTGAAAGTATAATGTAAGACTTCAAAAAAATAAAAATGCATACAATCATCAGAAAATCTGGCTTCCATTACTAGCAAAAGATGAGGTATATGCTACTTACCTCATCCATATGTACAAATATACATGTATATAGGCATATATTACTCACCTCGCATATAGCAACATATGAGATAAGTGCCTGCTGAATGCCTACTATGTAGGCAGGTGATCTGCTAAGAGCTGGGAATATGATGAGCGAGGACACAGACTCCTGCCCAAGCAGACCTGTGAGAGCAGAACACCTAGTGTGCATTTTCACACACAACTCCTATCTCTTGGGAGTTTTCGGTCTTGCTGAGGAATAGACAATTACAAATAATACAAAGCAGAATGCAACATGGGCCATAAATAATGAATAAAGTACCATAGAAACAGGGAAGAAATATACAGAAATACACACCATATTGTGTTCTACACCTAGCTCTATGTAGTTAACTTCAAAACAACTAGTTTACTTGAGTATTTCAACCTCTCACTTCATGTATGCTTATCAAACTCAATTTCCCAGTAAGAATATTTTTGGTTGTGGAAGCTGAAGTTTACTTCCTCTTTTATTTGCACTCATAGCTTATTGTGCAAAATACATTTACCAAGATAACCAGTTCCTTGAGTCTACACTTATTGGCAATACATAGATAAAACTATGATATTTGGCTTCTGAAGAAGTAACTCAAGTCTCACTTACTGAGTTCTGTGGAACAATGTCTTTCAGTGAGCATGGCTGTGCTAGTGGTGGGATGTCTCTGAGCAGCTCTTCAGCACACAGTTCAGACTTCCTTAGAACCAGACATAAATCATTGAGTGTAACACGCTGCTCAACCGAGTGTTCTGGTCTAACATGGGTTTCACCAACTCTACGAGGAATTCAAACAACATTTATTAAAAGCATTGCTTCACACTTTAACTTGTTTTCCCCATAAAAGGTATGGGGAATCCTAAACCTTCTAAAAAGTGATATTCCAAATTCATACTTTACTACATAGACTTAATTTAACTTCCATACACAAAGACACAGTTTTCATCTGTAGAACTAAATCACAGCTATCATTATTTGAGCTTTTAAATACCCATTCAGTTTCAACTTATAGGAGATAATGACCCTCCTCCAACATAAATCTATTATTTTTAAAACTGGAACCATTAAATAAAATGACATTTTTAGATACTGGAGTCAGTTAGACAGTACGATCCTTTAAAAGCATTAATGAAATTTTAGAAGTCTGGTTAAAAATATAAGTCAGTCACCTGCAGCCAACTCTAACACTTCATTTTAAAGAGTCAGTTTTATGTATCATTCCCTGCTTTGAAGTGACATAGAAGAGTACATGAGTTTGGAGTACATAAAAAAGTTCCTTTTCTAAGTTTCCCATCTAGTAGTACTGGTAAATGGTAAAATCTTACCTCTTTAGTAAGATAGCTACAGAGTAAAATGATACATTGCATGCCTTGGAAATGATGTATCATATGCCTTTGGAGTGACAAAATACTACCCACCATCTACCCCTTTCTAATTGCCTTTATTCTTTAACTTTGCTCCAAAAAATGTTTCTAAACGGGTCAGGAACACATAATAATGATAAAATATCATACCCTGTGACAATTAGGACTTCAGAATTTCCAAAATCTACCATGAATATCTGTATCAGTGCGACTTCAGAGACTGGGAATTTGGTTGGACTACAAAGTTTTCTAATATTTTTACTTTGTACTGGAATTAATTCAGTGATAGTTCCTCGACACCACATTCCATTTTCAATACTGTTGACAAATATTCTTGCACCTAAATAATGAAGGAGACAAATCATTATCAATGCTTATCAGGAAAGACACTTAAGTTCTAGTTTACAAATACAAACATTGATTCTACCACTAAAAAGTCTTAGTTCATTTATTTTCTGATGGTACAGTACTGTATACTGAAAAGGGTATGATGATGTGTATTATGACAGTTTCTGTTACAAAGAAGTTTAAAAGGTAAATGCGGAGATAAAAACATACAGAATACTCAGCCAGTTAGTGAGGACCCCATGGTGCATGAACTACATGAACAAAGATAAAGACAGTCATACCATCAAGGAGTTCAAGGAAGGAGAGCGAGGTAAATGAACTGCTAAGATACACTGCACCTCCCCTAGACAGACCATTTATCCTCGTGCATGTGCATATGTGTGCTTACAGATACACACAAACCAAAGTTTATAATAAACAATGCTCTTCTCTTGGCAAAGGGGAGTGAGAGTCAAACAGTGAAAGGCAGCACTTGAAATGCCAAAATTAACCAACTCTCAGTAATGTTCAGAGAAGAGGAAAGATGAACTAAGGACTCGGCAGCTGAAGAAGACCTTATGGAGGGACCAGACAGATTATAAATGAATAATCAGGAAAAAAGAAAATAAAGCAAGAAAGAGGCCCAGCTGATGATGAACTTCACAGTGTTTTGTCTGAATTCACTTACTCCCTATAGCAACCCTATAAAGGTGCTGTTTCTATCGCACAGGTGAGGAAACAGAGGCAGAAAACCTAGCCCAAGCTACACGGCTACCTAGAAGAGGTGGCAGAAGAACCCGGATCATCTTAGAGCCCATCTAAACTATGCATTTTAGATAAATGTGGTAAGTCTCAGTCACCAATTACATATAGAGGGAAGCAATGTATATACTAATAAAAACAGGATATTGAAAGGCACGTAGGACAGACTTTTTAGTTTTTTATTGATTATTTTTAGTTCTACCAAAACATTTTTGGCCTTCAGACTATCAGTAGCCGGTCTCTTATTTTGATACACTAAGTAACCAACATTATCTTAGTTGGAAACTGTGACTTGAAGTGAAACAATGTATTAACAAAACCAATCTTACAATAGGCTAATTGATATAAACAAGCATTAGGTTCCTACAGCATATTTCTGGTCCCCAAAACATCACTAAGCTTCTAAATAAAGAGCCAGAACACTTCTAATATTAAACACTGAAATAAATATGAGCTATACATACACTAAAGAAAGATTAATGAAAACAAGTAAGGTAATTATTTACTCAATTTTTGGTGAAGCAGTGAGTGACAGCAGTCACAGTGGCTTAAATCAAAGAATTAGTCTGCAAAGCAAAAAACTGTCAGGAGCACCTCCTATCAGCACACAGGTCAAAAACAATCACAAAGATGGTAGCTCACTGAGTGTTTTTGTAGCATATCATTTACTGTCATGCATTTATATGATTATCACATACTTTATGAATTCTTATTTTATGATAATTTGTATTCATTCATTTTTTAACCTGCCTATTCCAGTTCAGGGTGAACGGTGGCCAGAACCTATCCAAATAGCTCAGGTTCCAAGGCAGACCCCAACCCTGGTCAGGACACCAGCCCATCGCAGAGCGTGCTCTCTCTCTCACACCCATTCTCAGACCATGTAGACACACCAATTAACCTAATGTGTATGTCTTTGGGATGCCAGCCTTGGTGGCTCAGCCTGTAATCCGGCACCTTTGGGAGGCTGAGGTGAGTGGATTGCCTGAGTCCACGGGTTCGAGACCCACCTGGGCAGGCGAGACCTCATCTCTACAATAAATCAAAAAATCAGCCGGGCGCGGTAGCGCACACCTGTAGTTCCAGCTACTTGGAAGGCTGAGGCGGAAGGATCGCCAGAGCCCAGCAGGTCAAGGCTGCAGTGTCTGGAAGCATGCCACTGCACGCCAGTCTGGGTGACAGAGTGAGACTCCAACTCAAAAAAAAAAGGAAAGAGGGAACAACACAGAGGCAAGAACATGGACCAGCTGGGTTCGGTGGCTCAGCCTGTAATCCCGCACCTTTGGGAGGCTGAGGTGAGTGGATTGCCTGAGCCCGCGGGTTTGAGACCTGCCTGGGCAACTTGGCGAGACCTCATCTCTACAATAAATAAAAAATCAGCCGGGCATGGTAGCGCGCGCCTGTAATTCCGGCTACTGGGAAGGCTGAGGCGGAAGGATCGCCAGAGCCCAGTGGGTCAAGGCTGCGGTGGCCGGGAGCAGCTACTGCACTCGTCTGGGCGACGGAGTGAAACTCCAACTCAAAAAAAAAAAGAACATGGAACCAACCATGCTGCCCATCAAAAGAGAACTGGATAAAGAAAATAAGGTACATATACATGATGGAATATTACACAGCCATAAAAAAGAACAAAATCATGAACTTCATAGCAACCTGGAGGAACTTAGAGTCTATAATACTGAATGATCTTTCACAGAAACATAGAACTGAGTATCACATGTTCTCACTCATAAGTGGACCTTGAACAATTATCGTAATACTATAAGAAAATAATTGGTAGTAGCGGGAAACTGCCGGGAGGGGGGTGGGAAAGTGGGATTGGCAGTAGTGGGAGTCTGCATGGGGAAGGTGGAGCATACCTCATTAACAAGGACACCTGCATAATGAACATTTGTATACCTAACCCTGAATTGTACCCCACATCTTTAGAAATAAAATAAAATAATTAAAAGTAAAAAAAAAAAGCCAGGCTCGGTGGCACAGCCTGTAATGCCGCGCCTTTGGGAGGCTGAGGTGAGTGGATTGCCTGAGCCCGCGGGTTTGAGACCTGCCTGGGCAACTTGGCGAGACCTCATCTCTACAATAAATAAAAAATTAGCCGGGCGTGGTAGCGCGCGCCTGTAGTTCCAGCTACTTGGAAGGCTGAGGCGGAAGGATCGCTGGAGCCCATCGGGTCAAGGCTGCGGTGACTGGGAGCGGCCACTGCACTCCAGTCTGGGTGACAGTGAGACTCCAACTCAAAAAAAAAAAGAGGGAACGAGAGAATACCCTCTCTTCTAAAGTACCAATCCACTTACCACTGACTTCTCAAAATAGGAGTATTTAAGTCAACTATTTTTACCTTGCAAACATAATTATTATAAATAACTTAAAGAATAACTTTTTGCCTTTCTTAGAACATTTTGTGAATATAAGCTGAGTTATTTTGGGAATGTATTACATTTTAGAGAATTATTTGCAACCATAAAAACTCAGTTTAATTCCACACTTCCTTTTAGATATTAATAGTTAAATTTTTTAAGTTTTAGAGTTATTATTTATTTTGTTGGAAGTATATGATGACCCTAGTCTTCTGATATTCTGAAAAGCTATATAGATGATCTGAGAATCATACTTTCAAACAACTATCATTTAATACTAGCCAGATAAAATACTTTTGGTATTACTTATTTAGGCATTGATTGCTATTAACAAAATGAGAAAAGTGTTCTATTAATAAATCAAATAAATTATAGCTTTATCACATTACAGAGCATAATCAAATTTAGTCAACCGTGTTATAAGAAAGGTATTTGTAATAAATGCCTAAAGCATATTCACATGCCCTCAGAGTTAAAGCACATTGACTACATTTACAACCACCCTCCATGGAATGGATGCCACATGCTGCCTAAATCTTGAGTGCTCCATGCTAGCCCAACACTCACACGTGGAGAGCAAAGACGAGAGTGAAACAGGAAGAGTATCTCAAGGAGACAGTTTTCCCTGGAGTCAAGGGGGCCAGCTACATAACCTGCCATGGTTTTACAGTTTAAAAAGCAATTTACCCTACTCCAACATGGAGTTGTTGTATATATCTCACTCTAAAAACATGCCAACATTCAGTTGTAATCCTTAGCTAACTAGCCTAATTTATGTTAAAAATTATGTTAAAACTTTTATGCTTACTGTTAACATGGAACAAAATCTATATAAGTATTATGCTTAAATAAACTTGATATTTTAACTTGAAGTAATATCCCATTACCTAGCTCCAAGATGTCTGAAGGATTGAGGTGTAAACTCTTGTTGCAAAATGCATTCACCTTCTTTTTCAATACCGTTGCATCTTTTATTTGTGAATACTTCCGAATATAGAAGTGGCAAGGATGTATTACATGGCTTACAAAAACTAGCTCTGCAAAACCTGGATAAGAATCAATATTTAAACCACATTAATAAACCCCAAGAATTAGAAAACAATTCACAAAAGCTGAATAACTCTAATAGCCTCTAAAAGAATAAGCGTCAGGTGGTATTGTGAACTCTAGGCTACTGTATTTGGGTCCCATGAAGAGTCCAAAACCTAAATGACTAATAAAACAAATGGGTCACTTTTAACAATTAATTCTTTAGCAACTGGAACTGCAAATACTTTATATAACTGGCAAAACATGTCATACAAGCAGAATCGTAGTTCTCCAGCATTACAAAAGTTCTGTTTATTTATGAACATATATGGGGACTCACAACCCTATTGACAATTATTAGGTTTCTAGGACAGCCTACAAAAGCCATTTCAATCTATATGCTACTATACCTTTAGAATAGTTCATAGCTAGTATAAATCTCAAGTTGTATAAATTAGGTTAAAGAGGTATGAAAAAAAAATGTCTAGGCAAAGCCAATGTATTGAGCAGCATTTAGGGGAATGTGTATGTGTTTTGGTGAAGTGAGTTGAGGTAAAGACAGTGAGAAAATTTTCTCTATACAGGAGTAATTAAGCCAAGTGTTTCTACTGATATAAAAAGATTTCCAGGTACGATGTTAAGGAATGCTGTGGTGTGCTCTGTTTTATGTAAAGAAACAAATAAACAAACAAACCACACAAAGGGAATTAGAAAAATAATGTGAGCCGGGCTCAGCCTGTAATCCCACGCCTTTGGGAGGCTGAGGTGAGTGGATTGCCTGAGACCGCAGGTTTGAGACCCGCCTGGGCAACTTGGCGAGACCTCATCTCTACAAAAAAATCAAAAATCAGCCAGGCGTGGTAGCACACGCCTGTAGTTCCAGCTACTTGGAAGGCTGAGGCGGAAGGATTGCTGGAGTCCAGCAGGTAGAGGCTGCGGTGGCTGGGAGCAGCCACTGCACTCCAGTCTGGGCGACAGAGTGAGACTCAAACTCAAACTCAAAAAAAAAAAAAGAAAAACAAGGTGTATTTATTTGTAAATGCATAAAGAAACTCTGGAATGGAGGGTGGGACTGACTAGAATGGGAACAGGGTGGGGGAAGTTTCACAGACTATCTTAATATATAGTTAATTTCTCAACAACATAAATGTTTTATGTGGTAAAGCTGTTTAAAAAACAAAGACTAGGAGGAGCAGAATTAAATTTAGCCAAGCATAGACATATGACAGAAACTCCACAAATGGATCACTTTATTCAATACAGACCACAAATAATAGTACCCATACTGAGGAAGGGGCAAAAAGGTAAGTATGTATAACTGGGGTGACAGCTGAGGGGGAAGTATTACAAATTTCATAAATTCTCTTGCCAAAGAGAGTCAAAACTTCTAATATTAGAAAGGAAGAAGTTTCAGTTATCAATAAAATTCGCTTTACTTACTGCCTCGTGCTAAGTAGATAAGAGTTACTAAACATCCAGCAAACTCCACTATACCAGGCTCAGACAGCTGCTACATTACCTGCTTTTGATCCAAAAGGAACAGATGAGCTTTTCTGAAGAGGCTTTTTTGGATATCCAGGTGTCTCCACAAGAGAACCTGTGATGCATGCTTCATCAAAATGAGAAATAAAACAACTGTACTAATTATGTTAATGTTGACAATGACATGCTATTGTTTAAAAAGGTGTACTTGAACTAGCAAAATACGAGATGGCAGGACCTCTTGAATCAGTGAGACAAGTCACAATAGGTATCTTAAGTCATTGAGATACCAATGATGATAATTCAGTGAAAAGGAAAGACAAGACTGTGTCCTTTCTTCAAAATGTCATTCTGGAGAGTCAACCAATAAAACAGACGAGGGAGGGGTAATAAAAACCAGTCTTGAAAATGGCCCTACAGAAGACTATTAGTATGAACCACAGAGTAGTCTCTCATGCCCATGTTAATGGGGAAAATAACAACACTGAAATTGAATCAAACAATTGTAATACAAATAAATTGTAATACAAATAAATCGTGATACATCTATAATAAAACAGATGACATTATATTTATGATACTTTATCTTAGATTGAATCTTGGAATGAAGCTTTAAGAAAAACTGTTCCTAGCCGGGCTCGGTGGCTCAGCCTGTAATCCCGTGCCTTTGGGAGGCTGAGGTGAGTGGATTGCCTGAGCCCACGGGTTCGAGACCTGCCTGGGCAACTGGCGAGA